GAAATAAACTTTTTTATGTTAATTTTCTTGGTGGTTCAGTCAGCAAAGCATCAAGGGTGAGACCTGGGGAGCTGCCTGGCAGGGCACAGCTTGGGAATGAAGCTCACTAAAGGGCTTTGCAGTATTTTAATTGTGATTTTGTCCAAAAATAAATTTTTGAAAACTAAAGTAGTGCAGTAGCAATGTGCAAAAAAAAGGAGAGGCAGGATAACAGGAGAGAGGAAGCGAAGCACGAGGTGAAAAAGCAAATATGGAAAGTGAAAGGCTGGAGGAGACAGGAGAAAGGTGTCAAAACACTCACCTCTCACTCCTTGCTTGGTCCCTGGTGCAGGACTGTGCCCACAGGAGAAGGAAGGGTTTCCAGCAGGTCCTGCAGCCACTGAATGGGTGAGAGCAGCTGGAGCAGGGCACTTCCAGGGCAAGTGTCAGGAAAGGGGGATCACCTGCGCTGGAGCCCTGCTGGGGTGATGTGCAGGATCCTCGTCCCTCTGAGCCAGGCACCAAGGGAGATGGGGACTGAAGGCAGGCCCATGCAAGGAGGACACAGGTCTCTGTGGAGACCTGAGCTGAGGTTGTGTTGGAGGGGCAGATTTTGGCCAGGACTAATTGATGTATGAACAACTCCATCCCTCCCCTTCACCAAATCCCAACTGCTCTGGCCAAATCCACTTTTCTCCTCTTCCAAGGTGACCTTCCCAACCTCAGCTGAGCCATTACTAACAATCCCTTCCCATCCTGCCCTCCAAGGCCACCCCCACCACCCCTCCCTGACCGAGGGAACGACATAAACCTGTGATTGCTCCCGAGGAGCTGCTGTGGGACCTTCCAGGGCTGTGCCCAAACTGAAAGGCTGAGATGGTTCCCAGGTGGCTCTGGGTTCAACCTGCCCAGGCTCAGTTCCATTATTGCCCATCCAAACGTGGCATGAGAACACAAAGAAATCTTGGCCATGTTTGCACACTCTCTCCATAAACAGGCCTAAACGACTCCCTCGGGACAACCGTGTTTCCAAGCGCGTTTCCCCGGGTTGGCACTCAGGCTGCTCAGGTCTCCTCAACTTTGGCAATAGTGCAGTTTAAGTCTCTCTTTTAATTAACTGATTTTCTATGGAAGTCATTTTTATCTCTGTAGTCCCACTAGGAAATGATCTGTCAGATGTCCAACTCAAACACATTCACCAATACGGGAATTGAAGGAGTAGCACAGAATTTGTTTCCTCCTTTCATTCTTTCAGGCAACAATAACACTCAAAATAGCTCCTAAGATTGTTTTCTAAAGAATAATAAATTTTTCTGTCTGTCAGGCAACTTCAGCTGAAAATAATATGTCAATATTCAGAGAGAAGATTTCTGGAAAACGCTGGAACAGGACCAGGAATTCCTCATGCACTTGTTTCAGCTCATGATGGATGAGGAGCTGCTTTATGTGATGACTGCAAGTATGATGCTCTGGATGGAAATGGATCATGGCATCGGAGCTGTTGCTGGTTGTTCAGGATTTCCAGCTGGACTCTGACCCACAGGCTTCACCTGCTCTAATCCTACCCCACTCCAGCCTTGCCTTCACTCACCTCTTCCACTCCCAAATACTCCTTTTGGCTTCTCCAGTGATTCTGCATTTACCTCCCACCACTACAACGAGCTTTTGCTCTGCTTTCACTGGCCACAGAGGTGCAAAGGCTGGAGAACACTCCACTCCAGGGACATGTGCATCTGATGAGATATGGGACAATGCTACTTCTGCTCGTGCCATTCTGGGCTGGTCCCTCACCGTGGAAATGGCCCTGGCACCAGCCCATGGTTTAACTCCAGCCCCACACAGCCTCTGGCTTTATCCTGGCAGGATGGGAGAGAGAACTGGGAAGGCAAAACTGAGAAAACTGTGGATTGAGACAAACACTGCAAGTGTGTGGCTTCCTGCTGTGGGTCCACGAGGACAGACAGTGATGGAGACAGTCCAGCCAGGAGCGTGGCGAGCTCGTGTGGGTGAGAAGGTTCAGCAGAAGGCTGAGGAAGTCTGTGGCTTCCAGGGGAATTCCTGCCAGGCTCATCCCTGGAGATGAGCCGAACAACAGAATGCTGTGACTCAAAGGAAAGCACGTCCCCAGAACTCAACTGACCCCAGACTGAGCTGACCACGGAGCTGTGGCTGTTGGCAGCCAGGACACAAATGAGGGACTGAGGTAAATCCACAACATGAACAGAAATAAAAGAGCCCAGAGGTGTGTTCGTGGCACAGCACAGAGAGAAACCCCTGAGCTCCCACCAAGGAGGGTTTGAGCAGGCAGGGGCAGAGCTCTGCAGGGCCAGAGCCCCAAGGTCTGACCTGCACGGGGGGTGCTCAGCCTTTCCTGCACTATCCCTTCAGAAGAGTTGTCAGCTGAGAATTTCCAAACTCACTCCAAATGCACCCAAAGCTACAGGCAGCTGTGGGGATTTTCTTGCTCAGCTCCTTAGGCCTGGCTGAAGGACACGTCCCAAAGTGCTGTGACCATGATCATTTCCACATTGGGAATGTGAGTCAGCAAAGCCAGAACACACTGAGATTTGCATTAACCTTCTTGCACCCAGCTCTTCCCCTCCCCAGTTTTATGAATCACCACCATCTCCTTATGCATTTTATCTGCTAGATTTTATCTTCATGGATTTGATACCTTAGACAAACAGGATTGTGCCATCAACATTTTCCCTGTCTCCCGTAAGGAAACCCTTCCTGCCAGCTATGCAAAGTGGGCTGATGAAATCCTGGAAACTTGTATTATTGCTGGAATTATTGTCCACGAGGAATAAACATTACTTCAGTAATGCTCTGTCCCAGCATTTGTCCTCATTAAAAGGTAATTTCCTTTTCTATAGTGGAAAAGAAGAAGAAAGGCAATCAAACAAGTGAGGGGATTAATTTCTTTGCTGGTGAGCTCTTTGGAAAGGCGAAAAGAGGAAACTTGTGTTTTTGAGAGAGCTGTGAAATACACCCAGGTCACTCATCTGGGGAGAGATCTGACAGTAACTGCCCTGGTTTCTCAAGCAACCTAAGAGAAAAATAAAATGACAGTAAAACATGAGAAGGGCAGCACAGGCTGTCCATACCAGAGCCATAAATCAGCCCAGGGCTCAGGATAGGGTGGCACCACTTCAGGACAGATAAATGCTTGCCCACCAAGGAATAGGAGTTCAGACCTGTTTTGTAGGACCAAGCTGCAGAGTTATTTGCAAAGAAAATTGTCTTCCCTCAGTTTCCTCGAAATCTTCAAGCACTTTCAACAAACCTCCTCCAAATGCAAGACATTCAGATGATGTCATTTATCTGGGCCCAGAGAAGCTGTGGCTGCCCCACCCCTGGAAGTGTCCAAGGCCAGTTGGACAGGGCTTGGAGCAACCTGGTCCAGTGGAAGGTGTCCCTGCCCATGGCAAGGGGTGGAACAAGGTGAGCTTTGAGGTCACTTCCCACCCAAACCATTCCATGACATGGCAAGAGAAGAGTGGTGGAAACCCTCAGGGGTCAAAAGTGGAGTGGAGTATTTTAGACAGAAGAAAACTGAATTTTTCTTCCCTATGGCTGAATTCTAAATAAATTCTGTTGTATTTCACCTGCTGAGGGGAAAAAAAGAGGAATCCTCAGCTGAAAAGGGCACTGTAACCACTGTACAGGGCCGGCCAAAGCCTTCAAACAAAGGTGCAGCCCAAAACAAACAGGTTATGGAAAAATCCTGGAAACCACCTCACACCAAAGAGAAATCAATTGGGAAAGCTGTGTTTGCATTGCAGGAGAAACCGGTGGGTTCAAAGAGAGCCCATCAGCCCTGGGGAGTGGTGACCAATGTTAATCTTTACCAAGGAAGGATTAACTGTGGGAACCGGGCAAATATTTCCCCGCCGTGCCCGCAGCCGGTCCCGTCCCTCTGCCGGGCACAACCGGGTCCAGACCCCCCTTCCCACCATCCCACCTCCCCAGACAAAGGGGTTTGTTGCTGTTCTCACAGGCTGGGTGCCCTCAGGAAGCGTTCTGATGAAATGGGTGGTGCCCCGGGCAGGCTGAGGGCTCTTGTCTTATCTTTCCGTGGTCGTGATGAAATTCTGAGCTGCTGGCAAAGCGGGCACAGAGCCTGCAGGGTTGGTGCCCTTGCAGCTGAGGGTTCTGCTCTATCACCATGGCAGGCAAGGAAAATAAGCAAATGTAACAGGAGCTGTGAAACGCAACAGAGGCTGTAAAATATCATAAACCACAAAACCAGTACGGGGAGTCTCGGGCGAAAGCTCACTCATTAAAATCAAATATAAAAGTGAATATTTATACACTTAAATCAAAAATTATATTAGTCACCAACCAGTCCAATCCCTATTTCCAGGGACTTTGGCTTTGGCAGATGTTCTCCCAAGAGCCCCTGTGCAGACCCAGGGTTGCCATCGTGCTCTGGGCAGGGAGGACAGCACTGGGCTGCCTTCCCCCGGGGGGAACAGGAGTGACAGAGCTGTGCAGCACCTGGAATTTCAGCATTTTGTCTTTCTACAGCTCTTCATCCCTTCAAGAAGCGATGAGGGGAATGGTAGGACTAGTGTTGGACAGGCAGCAAACCCTCCCTGTTGATCAGAAACCATCACAGCCTTTAGCTCCCTGTTTTCATGTCCTGGCTGCAGCAGGAGATCAACATCCAGGACAGGGCTGGGAGCTGTGGTCGGGGTTCATGTGGCTGTGGATGTATCCCACGGTGCCTGTGGGATGTTCCTCCACTCTTCACTGGTATCTCATGCAAAGACTCCCCAAAACACGGATGGACTTGGCTTCCATCCAACATCACACCTGGAGAACAACCAGGAGCGTCAGTTCAACGTCAGCCCCATCCAGTCTGGGTATCCCAGGAAACACCAACACAAACACTCCCTGGGAGAGCCCAGTCCAGCATCTCATGCCAGGGGACATCCTTTCTTCGCTCAGAATAAGTGTTTTACTCGTGGATAACCCGTGCTGGCTCAGCCAGACAAGTGCAGGGTTGCACCCTGTGATCTGCCCCAGCTCCAGCCTGATTCCCAGGAAGTGTCTGGGGCTCCCCTTCCACACAGGGCATCAGTTTTTCCAGACAGCTGAAAGTTAATGGCTCTGCCACGAGCCCAGTGAGTAATCCTTGTGAAACCAGCGCCGGGGAAGTTGCCCAGCCAAACAAATTCTGTCACCGTGGCTCCGTGCTCTGACGTGGTGCTGAACGTGCAGCACTAGATATAAAAACCAGGAAACAATCCAAGGGAAACGGCACATTTCGGCTCTGCTGCAGGCCAGACACGGGGCACAGGGATGCAGAAAACTATTCCTGGCTGCTTCTTCCAGCAAATGTAAGTATTTTTCCTCTTAAACTAAATAGTAGCACTTGATTATAGTCAGGATATTCCATGGGAATCTGCGTTCCCAAATTTTTTCTCCTCTTCTGTATATTCTTTGACACCATTCCAGGAGGAGTTTTGAAAGGAAGTATTTCTTTAACAGTGGGAGGTGATTTTCTGTCAGGTTACAACAACAGAAGTTACTATTAATTGGAATTTGGGAAGCGTGTCAGAAGAGAGATTCCTGTGGAAATAAAACCTGTACCTCTGAAAACGCAAAGTGTTGGTTCAGGAAAACTCCCGTGAGCTTGAATTGAGGATCCATCCTCCCAAAAACTGTCCAGGTGTCACTGTCCACGTGCAGGGATCCACAGACAGCAGGAGGCTGCTTTGAAAACTGTAAAGAAACAGATGAATTGGCTCAGGTTTCCTCCTTCACCGACTCTGGAAACACTGAGGAAACAGCCCCCCCATTCCTGTTCCCAGCTGGCCCCATCCCAGGCATGATCCCACCTGCCCAGACGAAGGCAGAGGGGAGGGTCTGCTGGTGGGGAGCATCTGCTCCCCCTCCCCAGGGCTCTGGGTGGGCTGACAGGATTTCCCAGCTGTGGGTTGGCTGTGGATGGGGAGATTGGCAGTGGGACTCAGGGGAGCCGCACGGGAGGAGCCTGTGCCTTCAGCCCCTCCTTGTGCTCCCTGCACAGTCTGCTCTTCATCCAGTGCCTCCTCAACCTCACCTCTTTGAGGGCTGTGTCTGACCAGTGCTGTGCCCCCTGTGGATCTCTGGTGCTGAGTTTGGGTAGCAAGGACTCTGCCCTCTTACCATCCCCATGGCCCCCAGGCAGCATTCCCTGCCTCCTGCCACCATTCCCTGCCTCCTGCCACAGCCCAGCCCGTGCCCACACGGCATTCCAGAGGGTGTGTGTTGGCAGGTGCCAAAACTCTGCTGGGAGGCACTGGAGCTCTCCATGGGACAGACCATGAGAGAGCACCCAGCTCTGCTTAATACACTAGAGCAGATGTATCCAAACTGCATTTGGAGCAAGAATTGGAAATTAGGATGTTCTTTTCCCTATCAAACATCCCCAACTACCTGTGTGGTGACACACAGGTCTGTTCCTGTCCCTTGGCCCAGGGTGTCACCTGTTTCCTTACCCTGTGCCTGGATTCCTTCAGAGGTATGAAAGCGTCCCCGCCTGGGGACAACCTGTGACCTCCTGGCTGGGACACCCAGGAGAGATAAACATCTAAATCCCCTGTGGCCAAAGAGGAAATCCAACCTCCAAACCTCGTTCTGCTACATTCTGGATGCAGTTCTAAGCACTAAATCACAGTGTGAGAGAGGTGGAGGGAGCCCTGACAATGATCCCGTGACAATGATCCCGTGACAATGATCCTGACTCCTGGGCCAGCTGGGGCTTGGCAGGCAGGACACCTCTGCCATGTCTCTAACAGAAAGTGGGAAGGCATTTTCCATCCAGGAACTCCAGTTCTTTTCCAAAGGACACTGTGCTGTTAAGGAAAATGCTGGCAGTGTTATGTAAAATGCTGAATTTTTCAAGAAGGGAGGAGGTGAGAAACACTCTGAGCTCCTCAGTGTCTGGACTGGCACCTCCTCCAGCTGTACCAGCTGCTCCTCATTCCTAACACTCCTCCTTAGAAGAGTTGATCACCAAGTCCTGGGTGTAAGATAGGACCTAATGTCCAGAAACTCAGAGTTAAAATGCTCCACAGGGACAAGATCTCCTGTAAATCCAGCCATTGGAGGGTGTAAAATAAAAAAAAAAAAGAACTTTATCAGGGCGTATGAGTTATCTCCTAAAAAATATCTTAATGAAAATATACACAGAGATAGGCTGCAAGAAAAAAATAATGACAGAACATTCTTCATGTACCTTTCCAAAAGAGTAACTTGCTCAAGTAACAAGATAAATCAGGATTTACCTGTACTTATCACAAGTTTGTTCTCCTCCACGTGTAGCCAGGGAGTTGTATGAGCTTTCACACTGTGGATCCACGTGGGTTTGATCCAATAGATCTCAATTTTATTGGTGCTCTATCAAAACAAATAATCAAACCAATCACAGAGTCATTAAGGTTGGAGGAGACCTCGAAGATCTAAGTCCAACCACTGCTCAGACACCAATGGTCAGAGATTAACCCTTCCCCTTCCTTGGTGGAGGAGCAAAGCCCATCTTGGGCAGACAGGGAACACCAAAGGGGCTGCACCAGAACTGGGCTCAAAGCACCTGGACTTAATGGGAAGAGCACAGACTATTGATCTTGGAAAGATTTTGCCTTTGTCACAAAATGCACAGTCATTTTTCTGCTTAATCACTGTGGAAAAGGAGGGCAGGATGAACCAAATCGACTTCAGCTGAAGTACAGGGAGAAATTTTCCCTCCCCCTTCCCCAGAGCATTCCCGTAGCAAGTTGGATCAGATACTTAAAAGACAAAGGAGAACAGGCACATGTGAACCTCAGGTGAGTCAACCTGGTACAAATCCAGTCTCTACAGGCAACGGGAATCCCAGTCTTAACAAAACTGGCTCGGGACCTTTCAGAGGAATCACTCAGGATTATCATCATCCCATCAAAATTGAAACCAGGCAATGACTAAAGCAACCAGCCTGACCTGTTGGGTAACTGCACTGGAAAAGCTCAGTAGTACCAGCTCCAAGGCACTCCCATTGGGAATCCTGAGAATTCACATAAGGAGATAATTGCTCAGTATGAAGGAAATGGGATTGTTATTCTTAGTTAAATCTCTGGGGCTCAGCCTCCTGGAAACTTCTTCAGTGACTGACACCTTTCTTCAGTTGTTGGCCTCAAAGCTGGTCACAGGCTTCAGCCAAGACCCAAATTCTGTCAATTCCTTATTACAGTTAATGAAAATGCCCAAAATGTGAGATCTCTGCAGAACCCCACCTGACACATCATTCCTCTAATTCCTGATAATGAGCCTTCCCTTACTATCCCATCCCTATGCATGACTTAATCATAGTTTCATCTAGTCCACATTTCTTACCTTGTTCCTCTATAAAAATGCCTCATGAAACAATATTTGCACTCTTAATGAAAGTCAAGCAATGTGACACTTACTGGTGCTCACCCATGAGATTGATGATCCTGCTATGAAAGGAAGCTGGGCCCAATAAATTTAACAATGTGAGACACCCACATTGTTCTTCCTTATCTCCTCTCTACCATTTAGATAACAATTTCCTTGTTTATTTTAGTAGAACTGAATTAGCAGATTCTTTTAGTATTTTCTGGCAGCTGAAGTCTTTCATTTTCTGGCTCCTCTTGTCCAACTCCTCCCTTTCAAACACAGGCCCCAGCTTTGCTATTTCAAATTTTCAGGGAATTCTACCAGTTAAAACTTCTCAGTGATAACCATGGAGGGTTTCCCGCTTACTTCCATCTCCCACCTCACCTTCCTTACCTTCCCATCCTTGTTTCATGGTTCTTCATCTGATGGCTTGGTCTTTCCAACATAATTCTTATACATCTATGCTAATCTTTTATACTGATTTTCACCATATAATCCTCACTCATCATCTAATCCTCACTCCATCTCTTGTAAGCATCTTTCTGTCTTTTTGAGATCATAAGAACTAATAATTTAACCCAATTAACCTCTTGGTGGTCTTTGTAACCTTAACCCACACAGGGATAGTTCTCACTCACTCCCTTTCAATGCAATATCACACCAATTATGCTGCTATCTAAAAATATCCAGGCACTTTACAAACTTCATTCCTGTTTAAGACAGGAGTGTGTAAACACCAGCTCAGGTCCTGAGCTCTGAGTCATCTCTAACCAGTTCTTGACACTGGAATGTGTTTGGACACTTTGCCTGGAATCTATCCCACTAATTTTACATTTAATCACCCTTTTTTTTCTAATGCATTCTAGGTATTCTTCCCTAACTGGCATTTTGATGGAGAGAGACCACATGAAAGACCTGAGGAGATACCTGGCGCTTAAATACATCCAATACCTTGTCCTGTCTTCTTCCCACGCCCTCAGCACCCTGCTGGGCCTGCTGGGCAGCGTGTACACCATGATCACCCTGCAGTCTGCCAAGGTTTCCTCCAAGTCCACTGCAGTCCTCATCTCCAGCCTGGCCAAGGCAGACATGCTGGTTTTGGTGAGCCTGCTTTTGGAGGCGGGTTTATGGACCTCCGGTGCCGCTGTCTCGCCCGCGGCAGCTCTGGCGCGGAACCTGCTGACGGCGAACGCCCACCTGAGCTGTGTCCTGCTCAGCTGTGTCGCCCTGGAGGCCTATCTGATCACCTTCCTCCCCACGGAGTCACGGCACCTACGGACCGTGAGGAACGCCAGGATGGCATCCAGGCTCATCTGGCTCCTGGTGGCCGCAGAGTGTGCCCTGTTCCAGGCGGACGATCTCCTGACGGCCGGCGGCGCCTCTGCTCCCGCCCACGGCCCCTGGGCTCTCTTGTCTCCCCTCCCCAGCACGGCTGCGGCCCTTCTCAGGTCCCTCAGTTACATCCTGGGCATTCTCCTGAGGATTTTCAATGTCTACATCTACTACAAGATATTTTTCAGCGTGTCTAACAGGTCTAGGCTAAAATCAAAGTAGAGCCTGTTCCCCGGGGATGTGGTGCCGTGACAGCCAACAGAAGGTTCTTCAAACCAGTTTCAAACCATTGGTCTGGAAACTGTTCAATAAGCAGGACCAAGGCTCGTGTTTGGGCTCCCCATGGAGTTTAAACCCTCCTGCTTCCTGGTGCTGTGGTTATGGAGGGGAGTTGGGGCTGAGGAGCCCCTGGCCTCTGTCTTTGGTTAGACTTGATTCACTGTACAGGTGGAACAAATGACATTTCAGGAAGGGTTGTAAGGCAACCCCAATATTTTTTATATCAAAAGGGTGCTTAGAGGATTACTCAGGGATCTGTTGAGCCAATATGTAGTTGTTTACTAAAGACATGATCCATGTCCTAAAATATCTCTGACCCAGGTGACCCACCAGAGTCAGCAGGTGGGATGGAGAGACAAGGTGAGCACCAAGCTGGGTTGGTTGGGCACTGAACAGGCTCCCCAGGGCAGTGGGCACAGCACTAAGGCTGCCAGAGCTCCAGGAGGGTTTGGATGATCCTCTGGGGCACAGGGGATCCTGGGGATGGGCCTGTGCAGGGCTGAGGGTTGGACTGGATGATCCTCGTGGGTCCCTTCCAACCCAGCACATTCTGTGATTGATTCTGTGACACTGCCCAGTGCACAAGTGGCCGTAGACACTTTCACCCCCTCCTGCCCTTTGCCTGGGAGACACCCCAGATCCAACTCCAGACTGCTGGGAGACTGAACCTCTCGATATGTTCTGCCACCCCCAGACCGTGGCTGTGGAGCCCGCAGTGAGTGCTGGGTGCTGACAGGGCTTCTCAGGAGACCCGAAAGGAAGCTCTGCTGAGGGCTGGGCAACCACAAAAGGCAGAGCAGAAACACACTCGAGTCAATTAAAGCCCTTTGATGCGTGTTGCCGAACAAAGCTGATCCCCTGGGCAGGAGGGGTGTCCTGGTGCACTGTGATACACTGCTCTTAGTCTTGAAATGAGACACTCTCAAGAGGGATGAAATGCTACTTGAAGTGCTGTAATTAATAAAAATTGGTTTTGTTAAAGCCTGTGCGTTATTTATTACAAATGAGTGTTTTTTTCTGAGGTTCTGCTGCAGTTTCAGCTCCTCCTGCAGAAGCTGAGGCTGAGCGGGGACGATCCCACCGGAGCCGTGTTTGGTGCACAAGGAACACAGGGGTTTTAATCTCTGGATTCACCACTTGGCTCGGGAATTTTTTCTGCCTGATCATCCTGGTGAGTGTTTCTGCCCCCAGGACAATGCTCTCCTCAAGAAATTAATGAAAGTAAAGGCTAAGTGTGTCTGAGTCGTGGTCAGGCTGAAAGGGAAGGAGATGCTCCACAAGGAATTTCTGGGACAGCACACCAGGCTGTGAGGCATCTGCACAGCTGGAACACCCACAGCACTTTGCAGTCAGGGACAGATCCTTTATTCCCTTTGTTCACGTCCTCATTTGAAGTTTCCAGACTCCTGAAGGAAGGCAGATTCCTCTACAGCTGGACCAACAGACACGAGCTGTTTTTATTTGCCACTTGAATACAATTCCCTGAGTGTTTTTGGCTGGTTAATGAACCAGCATATCCCATTGTGGATGTAGCTGTGGCTCTGATGTCAGGTCACTCTCTGCCAAAGAGCTCAAAATCTGCCTTTGCCAAGAGCTCAGAATCACAGAATCATGGAGTGGTTTGGGTGGGAAGGGATCCTCATCCAGTCCCACCCCTGCCATGGGCAGGGACACCTTTCACTAGCCCAGGTTGCTCCAAGCCCCGTCCAACCTGGCCTTGGACACTTCTACGGATGGGGCAGTCACAGCTTCTCTGGGCAACCTGTGCCAGTGTTCAGCTTGGAGCTATTTCCTGCACCAAAACCCCAATCCATCCTCTCCAGCACCACAGAAGCTTTTCTGGGGTGCAGGGAGAGGCACCCTTCCCTCTGCAGTGGGTATTCCAGTGGAAGGCACAGATGGGCAGGACACAGCTGGCATGGGGAAGGCATGTGCCTCTCACAAGATCTGTGTCCTGCTCCCACAGGACACAGGAAGTGTACAAACTTTGCCTCTTGGGAGAAAACTGGTTTAGACTTCAACTCCTTCAAGTGTGTGTCAGCGCCAGGAACTGCATCACTGCAGTAGCACTGTATGAGCAGAAAGTTGAAACCAAAGGAAGTTTGGAATAGAAACATAATGATGCACAAAAAGGGGAATTCCCATGTCGTGGGAATGACCAAAACTGTTAAATTACACCAGCTACTGTGTAGCCTCAGCTACACAGTGTGTTTGCCTCACTTAAACCATTAAGGCAAGAAGGGAACCATTCTCCTGCTTTTCCTGGGAAGACCCATTCAAAGAAAGTCTGATAACAGTTCAAAGAAAGTTTGATAGTAGTCCACGGAGCTGTTTCTGAGAAGGAAAGAGTCAGACAAGAAAATATGTTTCTACAACTGGGTCATCTTTCAGAGATCTATTTTCTGAAGCACTGATAATCCAAATAAAGGGCTTGAATTTAGATCTCCCACAAGCCACATGAGCAGATTGAACTGAAGAGATGGGTTTGCTCCCTGCAGTAAATCACGTCGATAGAAGACACTGAGAGTTCTTGGGAAATTTTGGTGTTTTGTTATCAGTGCTTCAAAATTCTGGAAAATTACGAGAATCTGGGTTTCTTCTATCACTTGCTGGTTCCATTTCCTTTAACTCACAGCTGTTTCTCCAAGTGACATTTAAAGTAGCTCTGAGGGTGTTTTAGAATGACACCGAGCGCTCTCGAAAGCACAAGGAGATATTTGGCGGCGGCGGCTCCAGCTGGGAATGTGTGACCAGCACGTGGTGCTGAGCAGCCCTGGCAGCACCGAGGACACGCCGTGTCCGACACGTCCCGCCGAGGGTTCTGGTTCTGCACCCTTGTTCCTCTTTGCTGCATCACTTCTGGAACCGCTCCCGGCCGCGGCGATCGCTGCTCTTGTTTGCACATCGTGCCCTCTGCTGGGAGAGGGGTGGTTTAGCCCAGCCCAAAGGAAAATCCTCCTCTCTAGTCCTGGCAGATGCCGGAGACCTGTGTCAAGGGCAGGGAGTGACAGGACAAGGGGGAATGGCTTTACACTGAAGGAGGGGAGATTTAGATGGGATATTGGGATGGAATTCCTCCCTGTGAGGGTGGGAAGGCCCTGGTACAGGTTGCCCAGAGAAGCTGTGGCTGCCCCATCCCTAGAAGTGTCCAAGGCCAGGTTGGATGGAGCTTGGAGCAACCTGGGCCAGTGGGAGGTGTCCCTGCCCATGGCAGCGGTGGGACTGGATGAGCTTTAAGGTCCCTTCCCACCCAAAGCAGTCTGTGATTCCATGCTGTGGCACATGGGAGATGGGAGGTGACAGCTCCACACCTGATGGCCCCTTTCCCCCTTTCCACCTCAGCCCTCTGCCACACGACCCCTATTTACTCCAGCCTGGCTTTGTGACCTCTCCCTTGCAAGCTGAAACTGTGCCAAATAAATCCCCCGGGGGCTGAACATCCACTCCTTTCCCCCCAGGATTATTTGGGGTAGGACAAGCAATGACATTGCCTCACACAGTCCTGCACTACTCTGCAACCCTCCAGCTCAGGCCCTGGTGATACTTGTGGCCAGGTGGGAGCTTTCTGTTTGTCAGAGCAGTGTGATGGTGTATCACACCTCAAAAGGGAACTTCTGGTTGCAGGAGGGGGCAGAGCAGGGTCCTGCCTGCATCCACAGCCCCGAGGGTGCAGCTGGGAGTGACCTTGTGGGTCACACAGCCAGGGCACAGCCCATGGAAAGCTCCTTGGTGACATATGGTTTGGAATTTAACAGGAGCTTACAGGGGGATCAGGTGACTCCACGACTTGGAAGTCACCTCGTGAGATGATGTTTGCAAAAAGCAGAGCTGGATTCCAGCTGCATGGGCCACACTCCGGCCTCCCAGACACAAAACAGGATAATCAGGGGGAAATGGGATTACAGGTGCAGGTGTGGCTCTGGGAGGCCCAGAGAGCCGAGTTCAGACACACACAGGGGCGAGGGTGCGACAGGGATGGGGACGGACCGAGGTGACACACGGCACATTCTGATTCCCTTTCTCCCCTCCCACTGATCCCCATGTTTTCCTGAAATTAGGCTGGACAGGCACCCAACTAGAAGCATCTGTTTCTCCTTTCAGTGTCAGCAGTGTAAACAAAGTGCATTTGGGATGTTTGGATTCCATAAATCTATTGGTTTTGGCTGCTCTGTGGGGACACGGCCGGGGCTCTGATCCCGCGCCAGGCACACGGGAGCTGTTTACAGAGCGGGGTGACCGTGGGGAAGTGTGGGACCCTGCCTGGCACTTCAGGAACTGTCATTCCCCCTGGCCCTTCGCTGAAACAGCTCCTGGAACAGCAGCTGCTGAAGGGAGGGATGGAGCTCCCAGGGGCTGGGGGTACCAGCACTCCATGGATGGCCCTCACCAGCCTGCACAGAAGGTTTGGGCTGGAAAGGACCTTTAAAAGCCCCCTAATCCAACCCCCTCCATGGGCAGGGACACCTTCCACTACACCGGGGTGCTCAGAGCACCATCCATCACCTTCCCATCCTGTTGCAGCCTCACTCCCTTGGTCTGCCTCCTCTGACACGTTCCCTGCCAGACTCGTGCTGTCACCACGGTGGGGAGCCAACATCCTTCGGGAAGGGTTTGTCTGTCCGGGCTCCAGCACAAACCCAGTCCCCAGGGTGGGCTAAATCCTCCCTGCAGTTTAAAAAGGGTGACCTGGGCCACTCACCCTGCTACTGCTCTGAGTCCTGGCGCCGAGTTTGGGTGGAAAATTGAGCACCTCAATGGTTTAAACCAGGGCAGATTCATCACCACAGGAGCTACCAAACAATGACTTAAATCTGATTCTAGTTCATTTCTTTTTGTCTCTTTTGAATAGTGGAGTAGAAATATACATTCCCTGTGACTTTTCCTTGTTAACTTGCCTGCTTTTCCCCAAAGGATTGTTAATGAGACGCTCCATGGCCTCGAGAACATGGAAAACAGGCATTTTCCTTGTAAACACAGCAGCCCAGTGGTTTGCTGGAATTCACCCCAGAACAGAACCACCCTCAGGTTAGGAGGTCACACTATAAGCAGATACTTTACCATAGTTTTACATTTTCAGATCGAGGAACACACACAAACACATGAGATTTCCCTTTGCCTGCTGAAGAAAAGCAGGGGATGTGAATCCAGGGGGACACCGACCCTGGTGCTGCCTGAGGGCTGGTTTGGGGCCCTCCAGGGCTTGCAGACCCTGATCCCACCTGGCCCCAGTTCTGTGTTTCCCTCCTTGAAATCCTCTGTGCCTTGTGGACATCAGAGCCATGACCTGGCAGCTTTTTTCCAGTCTCCTTTCCATAGGATGGGCTGTTAGCCCAGGTAGCTCAGAGGAAGGTGAGGAGGGGGAGGAGGAAGGGATGCAAACCCCATTTGCCCTTCAGGCTGGAAGGGTGGGTTATGCTTTGGACTCCCTCATCTGTGTGTGTGAGTACTTTCTGCCTAACA